AGTGAAATCTTGTATCTATTAAGGAATCTTGCGCGGAAAAATCATGATTCTATTTCAGCCATAAATCACTGGCTTGAGACTCATTATCCACGATAATAGTGAAAAGAACTGAAGTATTGCTTTCGTTTTGATTAGAAATTCGAAAACTCGAAAAGGCTGCTACGCGTTCGAATTGCCCACGGACGTCTTTCACGAATGCTGGCGACGGGGATGCTCAAACTTGGTTCTTGGAGTGCATTCACTAGAAGCTCTTTCTGGCCTTCTGCTTCGTTGCATTCACATCTTACACTTCTACTCCATCCTATTCCATCGATCGATTTGTCTCCACTCTCCGAAATCGCGCGCTTTAACACATTGACGACAACGCGGGGGATATATATCCCGCGCATTGCAGGCCATGTCGGACCGTGCGGGATATATATCCCCCGCACCCATTACACTAATTTTTTTCGCGCACGCCTGATTCTTCTAGAAGTTTCTTGTAATTATTGAATGGAGGAGACCTTGACCTAGCTAAAAACATAGTGGTCCATAGAATGGTCACGTATGCTTCAATTTGGAGGAGGATTTCTGAACCATACGAAATCTTCAGCCTAATAAATTTTTCGTTTACTTTTTCTTCCTATGAATGTGAAGGTTTAAATAGTAGTAGAAGTAGATACGGTACCTTAGAGATGACAATATATGTGTTTTGATTAAAATAATCAACTCAAAATTGCCTTTGAAGTTTATTGCAGCTTGTTCTAAAGAATATCACTTTTTCATTGTTATTCCATGTCTTTCAATAGAAATTCCGCTACTGTACCTCCGAGTAGGTTGTGCTCATTACAATATATTGATCTGGCCTTGTATTGATCATTATTTATGTTTTTATCACTCAAAATTTGCTTGAACGACCTGAGGCGGCGGCGCTCGCAAAAACGCCGTGGTCCCACGTGGCCAAAAGTGCCCAAAACTCGCGTTGTCGTCAACGTGTTAACCCGATTCTCTCATTGCGTCGCCTGGTACGTAGCCGGCCAAACGCCGTCTTCTTTCCATGCCTCGCCTGGCTCTGCCTCCTGGTCCTTCGATGGTCCATAACGTGTAGTTTTTGTACGTTTGTTTCTCTTCAGAAACCGAATCTTCATGCGTGAAACTTTGTGTGCTATTTCCAGTGATCACAACTGACATATTCATGTTAGGAAAGAGTGCAAGAATTTTCCGCGCAAGATTCCTTTAAGGACTCAAAAATGACTTCCAGTAACAACACCCTAAGGAGCAAATTGAACCATCTCCGCCGCCAATATTTATAAGAGCTGTACGGCTAAAATTTCAACGAGTACGAACTTGGTTGGTCACTTTGAAAACCCAATTTTTTCGTGCTTCTCGAAGAGGAACGTCAGTGAAAAGAATAACAAAAAACTCCGTAAAGAACAGTATAATTACCCTTGTGGGCTGGATCGTGGTATGGCGGAGAGAAACAACGCTGCAACGCGAGAGGGCACGTTGTATCCGAGAGGGCCCGAACCTCGCGGCAGCGCCAGCATGGCCTTTGCGCTGGTAAAGCACGCTTTAAGTGTCGCGCCTCCAGTGCTTGAGGCCCTCTTTTTCACTCTAGGAGGAACTGCTCTCTGGCCTTGTGGCTTTAAGCGCGCATTCATTCGTTGGGTAATTTCTTTTTCACTGCCCAATAACGGAAGATAAAGAGGATAAAGCATTTGACGCTAGCTTTGTCATTGCCTAGGCCCCGCCACGCATCCTACTTTCCCTTCAAAATCGTAGAGGCATAAGAAGGCGATTAAGGTTCACACAATAACCTGCGAGGGTCAGCCGATTACAACTCAGTGCTCTCTCCTCGGACAAATTTGGCATCAGTTGGTTTACCAGGGAGGACGGAGAGCTTCATTGGCGTGAGATGGAGTCAGGGCGGGATTTCATCCCAGGCTGTATGCTAAGGAAGCGATACCATATGTCAGTGTATTACGTCTCTCCGTCTTCTACTAAATTACTTCCAAAAGTGTAGCAAAAATTTCGTGAAGGATACTTTTACCAAAGAGATCTCTGCATAGCGGATTACGACTGGTACGAACGATTGTCGCCTAAGATTTTTCATACAAATATATATTTTTCATATATACACACATAGAAGGAATCAGCATCAGAAGGCTGATACGTTCACCGAATTTCGAAGTTTTTCGGGTATTCCTGATCGATTTTCGCCTTCTTTTTCGGCATCAGCACATAACTGCCGTAGCTCCTCCATTCGTTTTGGGCATTTGCAGTAGCGAAGACCGTTCACTGAATTTCATCTTCTTTTTCTCGGGCAATTGGAATCGAATAATTTTCAAACGATCATCTTCTAACAAAATCAGCAAAACATACTCTTGCGTCCCTTTCGACCTCGACGGCCACGTTGTCCCGATAGCCCTGGGGAGCCTTCACTTCCTTCAGCACCTGGATGACCGGCAAGACCACTCTCACCGGTTTCACCGTCGACACCTGGTTCTCCAGAAGAGCCACGTACACCTTGTGGACCTTATCAAATCGTTATCGACAAGCGCTAATCCGTAAGCACAAGGTGGAGGTATAATACTTACCAGGTGGCCCTTTTAGACCCTGACCGGAATCCCAGCGGAATGCGAAAAGGCCAGGAATGCCTGGTGAACCCGGAAGTCCTACGAAAATAAAACTAACTCGGCTCCAAGAAGTCCAGGAGGCTGGGAAAAAGGGAGTAGAGGTCGGCGAAGGAAAGGAGGTCAAATGCTATTAGTGGGTAGAGCACGCACCTAAGTGGGCGGAGTTTGCCAAAAGTGTCGTAATTTGGTTCCAAGAGGTCCCAGAGACCGGTGAAAAAGGGGGTAGAGGTCGGCGAAAGGAAGGGGGCCAAATGCTATTGGTGGGCGGCACGCACCGAAGTAGACGGAGTTCGCCACGAGATTTATTGTCCGGGCCGAGGACCGAGAAAAATAGGATAATGGTTGACGAAGAAAGAGCGGCATAGAATTTAGCGGAGAATTCAGATATTCGTATTGTATCAAGCCAAATTTGAAATTTTTCGTCGCACCATCAAAATTCGCCACAGATCTGTGTTGCGCGCGCAATGCGTGCGGCGCCAACTGGTAATTAATATGGAACATTTGAAAAACTTCACAATTTCTGGTGCAATTGAAGGAGAATAATGAAAACTCACAGAGTGAAATGAAGAAAATTGGCCAAATCTCCAAATTTGACCTTT